CCCCGCTGGTCGGGGGCTCTGAACAACCCACCTTCACGCTATGGAAGAGCTTGAAGGAGATGGCGTTGGAGGATCTTTGTGAGACTTTTGTGTTTTTTTGCAATAAAGATCGACAGTAATATAAAACTATATCAAATTAAAAATTAAAAATTTTCTTTAATGTTAAAAGTTGCCAGTACGACACATCCGATTAAAAGGTTCGTAATATAATAAAACCAAAAGTATTTTGTTTCTTTTTTTTCCACTGCAATAATTACCACACCGCTACAAAAGAATAACTTAAAAAAATGAAAAAAGGTGACCCTTCAAGCCTGTCAGTCAGTATGCTCAAAAAGCCAGTCGTTATATCGAAATTTTAAACAGTTTACGACGTCTTGTACACATCATGCAGTTGATTTTCCAACTGTTATGTTCTGTGATAACCGGTCTGCGGGAAAGAGTAGCTTGTTGGAGGCCATTTCCGGTGTACAGGTATAAAAGAATGTAATTTTATTGAAAGTATTACATTATAACAAATCAAAGTTAAATAAATGAATTACATCAAATGCAATTAATAGCTGCCACGCTCAGAAGGCACACGCCGATGTGTAATGGAAATCCGTTTTATGGATTGTGTCAATGCCAAGTCAAAGTAAAACAGGTATTTTCGAATGTACGCTATTTTTGGGTTATCATCATTCATAATAAATTTGACATAATACCATGCTCGACTAGTGCTCCGAGCGGATCGAGTCAGGTCGGGTTTGGGGCATATTCGAACTCGACCCGAGTATAAAAATTAAAATATAATAATACCCGGGGTTAGCATTTATGCAACCCGAATTCGACCCGATCCGTATATGAATTTAACTCCCCGTCTCGAATGACTCGTACTTTCGCTAAAAAAAATAATACAATACAAAATCAATAGCAAATCAATTGCAATTCAATTTAAAGAATGTAAAATAATGTTATGGGTAGAACGTAATTTGGGGGATTGATTAGACTGAGTGATATTTGTTTGTTTCTAATTCCTGTGCCGATATCGTTCAGTATGACGGTAGAGAGGGGAATTTAGCAGATCTGGGTCTTTGGGTAATATGGTTTTGGGTTTTTATGTTTTATGTGTCGGTTTATCGATAATATTCTTCCTATTAACTTCCAATCGTTGCTTTTTCTAGCTAAGGGCCTTAAACTGTTTAATCACAAAGCGCTTTTTCAATCAATCAATCAATATGCCGTTTAACAATATCAACGCCTTTTCTGGACTAAAGGACCTAACCAGAATCAATTACAACAATTTTACAAGTCTAATTTTACTTGGAGAAGAATTCTATGCAATTTAATTCTGCATTTTTATTAACGTCCGCGAGGACTATATATACATCTTTTTGTTTATATCGATAAGAATTTAAGATTGGAAAATAGAAAAACAAAAGCGAGATTAAAAGTGAGATCAGAAGCGAATTTAGAATAGAAAACAAAAACGAGATTGAAATAGAAAACAAAAGCGAAATTAAATAGAAAGAAAAGCGAAATTAAAATAGCAAACAAAAGCGAATATCACATAGAATTTCGAAGCGAATAAAGATAAACTAACGAAATCGGGCAGGCTGGTTTTACCGAAAATTGGGAGATTAACGAAATTAACTCTAGCCCGGTAACAATAACTAGATATATTTATATTGTGAATATAATCGGTTCTTACTCTTGAAAAAAAATATTCTATATGAGAAATTGCAAGAAGACAAAATATTAATGCTTCCATCATTATTTATATTAATTAAGATGATGTCAAAATTAAACTCTCTTTATATTAGCAGATCTAATCATCCAAATATAATAAATAAAAAGCTAAAATAAAAAATTGTAAATCTAATCATTTTTTGTAGATGTTCAATCACTATTGAAGTCTAAAATTATCTTCATAAAAATAAAATCTCAAAGTTTTTGCACTAATTATCTGTTATATACTTAATAATAATGAGTTAGTATTAAAAACAAGTATAATTTGATCTGATGAGTCAAAATTTAATATTTTCAGATCAAATAAGCATAAATAATATTGCAAAAGAAAAGAGAAATCATTAAAAAGTATATATATTAAATTTATAATTAAATTTGGTAATAATAAGATAATGATATAAAATTGCTTTACTGCTCATATTATTAATTATCTTTGTAAAATTAAAGAAATTGTAGATAATATATTATAAAAAAATTATTGCAAAAAAACTTACGAATACTATTAAATATTAGAATTATATACTAAATGATATTATTTTCCAATAAGATAATAATTCAAATTATATTACTATTACAATTCATAATTTTTTAAATTCTTAGTTTAATTTCATAATTTTATAACTTCTTAATAATATATCTAATATATTCAATATATTTAAAATATCTAATATATGTATTATATTTAATATATTTATTAAGTTAGTTATATCAAAAATATTAATTATATTAAATATATTTATTATATTAATATACTTTCAAATTATATAAATACAATATGAAATAAATCTTGAACATTATTAATTGATTATAACAAAAATCTAGCTAATTAATAAACTATTTCTTGTTTATTGTTAATAAAATTTATATATTAATCAATTAATTTATAATTATTATATTTGTTAATATACTTATATTTTGCATTATTAAATATTAATCAAATTGCTAAAAAATATTAGTACTATATTACTTTAAGATTATTTTATACTAATAAAAATAATATTTATTAGTAATAATAAGAGTCTATCTAACAAGTAAAAAAAATGCACTATATAATAATCCTAAAATAATATAATCCAATAAAATCAAGTATACAAAGTACAACAAATATAAATATTAGTTAAATATTTATATTATTGAGAATATTTATCTAGAAGTTTACTTATAATATTACCAAAAATATAAAAGAATAATTTGTCAATAATAAAGTTAATATACTTAATTAGTTATTTCAATTAGTAATTTTATAAACTAAATTGAACTAAATTAAATTTTGTTTGAATCTGAGTTTGATTCAAAATTTAAATTGAACTTTAAGTTGAATTCAAGAAAAAATTAAAGTTTGAACCAAACTTGATCTGAATTATTATACAAGTTTGAGTTTGATTTGAATTTAAATTAAAATTGATATATAAAATTATATACTAATATATAGCTCTAAACTTAAGCTATAATTTTAATTATAAGTGAAAATTATAATGTTTAGTTAGAATTTAAAGTTTATTTATTAATAAATACTAAAATATTTTTTATTTTTATAATTATTAAATTTTATTATAATTCTTCAAATATTTATTATTCTCATAAATAATTCTATATCAATTTGTAGCTCTTATTTTGGCTATAACTTTACTTAAAATTATAATTTATAGTTTTTATTAAAAAATAAATGTTTACTATTATATTACTAAAGTGAATTAAAATTATAATATTTAAAAATATATTTTTAAATCTATATAACTTTTAAATATCCATTTTCAATATTAATAATCTTATATTAATTTGTAGTTCTTATTATGATTTACAAGTTTACTTAGAATTTTCTTGAATGTTTACTTGAACTTGAATCAAACTTTTGATCAGATTCAAGTCAGATTCAAAGTTTAAACTGAACTTAAATCAGACTTTTAATTGGATATTGGAATTCTAATTTCAATTATCTGAATTTAATTTGATCAAGTATTTATAGAGTATTGTTAATTGTTATCTATATCATCTTCTGGATATGATTTTGAATAAGGAAAATTTATGGAAGCAAATCCAAAATATGTGAAATGATATTGAAGTCGAGACATACATTTATTTATCTTATCTAGTCAATATCAAAAAGAATTCAAACATAATAAAAATCCATGGTAAATATATAAGATAATAAAGCTAAATTAAGAATTAATTTTAAAAAAAAAAATGTAAAAATAATTTTTTTTATTGATGTATATGAGTAATTTTTATTGTGCTCAAAAAGAACAAATATAATGTAACACTAAATATTGAATATATTTTTAATTAAAAAAATTTAAATTATTAACACAGTAATAAATTTATAATTATAAAACTGTAGCATTGTATCATTTAATCATATTAATTATGATTTGATATTTTTTAAATCTGAAAGAAATATGATATTTGAAAATTGTGATTTGAATGTTGCATTATTTTTGATTGCCACTGTATATATATTATTCATTCATGTAATATATTCTGGATATAGCCATCAATCTTCCAAAATTTGTAATATATTCAGGTACTATAATCCATGCTATATAATAATTAATAAAATTAATAAACCAAAAAGTATAAAATTTTGTTATTTTGTTTATATAATTATAAACTATTATATTTAAATATTTAAAAATAATTTATTATATATATTTTAAATTAATAAAATAAAAGTGTCCAATACTTTTTATACTCCCCGTACATGCTGCTCGCTGAACACGCTGTATCGGTATACAGTACTCTAAAATCAAGTTACGTACGTAATCTGCTATTGTTTATTAAATCACTTCTTTAAAAGCATAGCGAGCTATACACATACATGCAGTATTGACAATGGAGCAATCTAATTTTTTATTTGGTTTAACCATATGTATTTAAACTACATAATCTATCGCTATTAACGTTAATCATATTACACAGTGACTGGACTTAAGGAATTTCCAATTATAAAATTAACCGGACTTATTTGAAAATCATAATAAGCCTTAACGTTAACCGGACCAGTTAAATTTCTCCTCTTATTAACGAGAATCACTGTGTATATACTACATAAAAAATGATACAATAACAGCGAAACGAAATAAACCAACTCAATAATCATTTTCTCAATCAAAATGGCACCTTAAACATTTTCCTGACTGCATTGCTATTAAATGCGCTCTTTCTTTACATTTTCTATATTTCTTGCTATTTAAAGTAACAATGTGTATGCAAAAAGTTTATTTAGGAAACAAACAACAGCATTAATTATTATGAAGCATACAATTAAGAAGCATATGTTCATTTTTTATGTTTATTCTCAAAAGTAGATAATAGTCAATGTAAATCTACTTGGAAACATTTAATAGATAGAGAGAAAAACATGAAGCAAGTGATATATAACAAACCGAAGCAAACAGGCAGTACAAGCAAATATAAACCACTCGCATATAAGGCAAAACAAATAATATCGACAAGAAAAAATCTGGATTTAATATGGTGCATAACATCTAAAGTCATCAAATGTTTATATTTTATAAAATGTATAAACTTCTCAATTAAGAAATAAATTCAAAATTTAATCCATATATATGATATATAGAATAAGCCTTTCCAGATTAAAGTTTGGATTTACACAGTCAACGTCAATATAAAGGACTCTTCCGTTCCTGTCATGCTGTCCGGTAAATCGACAGATCCACTATAACAGACAAAATTTATATAACGTTATTTATAGCTGGTTCTGAAAATAGGCAAATTCGTCTGTTTCTTAGTTGAGCAGTTTATATACATTTAAACTTTTGATGACTTTAGATGTCTTGCACCATAATATTCGAAATCAAGAACCTAGCATTGGAGTCATCATTAATAATTAGACGGTATCCGTGGGTTGTCAAAAGGATACGCAATGTCAATTGTTATACAACGTGTTAAGCTTGTTCAAATATCAGCTCTGATTTGTTGGCCAACTATTGCTTTGTTCCACTAGATATTATCAACCTTTCTCTATCATATCAAGCATTTGTATTTTATAAAATGGATAAACTTCTTTACTAAGAAATTTAATCTGTGAATATGCGGATTATTATTGCCCAGGAACTCATTTGCGGAAATGAATTATATATTTCTGTACTAGTAAAATTCTCTAATTACAGTCAACTCTTGTTAAACTGACCATATTTTTCTTCGAATTAACGGGTCCTTCGATTTAAAGGAGTTAACTATCCAAAATCTTTATGTAATTTCGTAACTCAAACCGCGTTTCTTTACCAATGCAAAGCATTCCAAGAGCATTTAATCCAAGATGATTAGTTCTTCAACAAATCCGGCATATTAAAACTCTCCAATGATATTAGCATAATATAATGCCATTATTGTTCGGGGATAGGTTAAGTTGTCGAATTACTTTGATTTCACGAAAGCAACCAGCAAAACATACAAAACATTTTTTACAAGCGAAATTAAACTCGATATACTGGTATTCGTTATAACTGACTAATTAAATCTCGATACAACCCAAAAACATTTCTAATAAAATTTCCTCGATATAACGATTTTTATAATAAATTCGCGATATACCAATATTTTACTAATTATCCCCGACCTATCATTATATAGAGTTTTGACCTTAGACATTGATGTGTGAGTGCATCCAATGTAAAAAATATTGATGTGATTGTTTTTATTGAACATCAATAAAATTAAAGAAATCAGTTGAGTATAAGCAATATAAAGAAAAACTTATGAAGAATATTTATTCTTAAAATAAAATAACTCAAACTGTCTATATGCAATGGTTTCGTGTTATCGAATGAAAAGGGTGTAATTCAATTAGTGACGATCCATGCATCGCAAGAAGCAATTGTGAATTATCGAATCATCCCAACGTTGCATAATCCACAAAGAAATAATTATGAATTACCGATTCATCCTTAATCTAGCCATTCATACTCATCCTTGACATATATATATATATGAATGTATAGATGCGTACCTGGTCCACCCGTTTTCGTTCCAATTCATAATCATTTCATCTCCTTGAATATTTATCTTAATATTAGGATCGTTTATTTATCGGACAATATCACATTTTACTGACATAGACAATGCTATTTTCTAAAATAAAAAATGACGGCAGTGGCCAAGAACCAAACTAAACTAAAATAATTGTGACGTCGCTACCGTCAAAACTTTGTCGTAATTGTGTCAAAATAAAAACAAGAAAATCAACTCTCTCTAAGTGTATCCCCCCCCCCAACAGGAACCGGACACATGAATTATTAATAATCGTAGTGGTGGCATTGATGGGATATTAGTGGATTTTGAGTATTTTATTTATGGGTTAGATTGATCCAACCTAAAAACTAGATTTATGCATGTCTTGAATTAAGTATATATATAAAATATAGATAAACATGTGACTGTTAACCTATGCTATTTAAAAATATATAGTCAACTCCCGTTAAATCAAAGAAAAATATGGTCGAATTGACTGTATATCTCATTGCTCTATGGTTATCGTCTTGCGTACAGATACACATAAACTCAATAATAAACTCGAAAATATATTATTCATTATTTGGTGGTGAGTCAAGAAAACCAAGCAAATTATAGTATTAGATATATCGATATGATTTGCTTGGTTTCTATTGACTCGCTCCCATTTATAGGATAATATAAAAATGCATACATAACAGCTAAGCAAAATTCCATTAAAACATAAGTATATAATACATACACTGTATTTTATTGTAAAATGTGAAACTAGAATACGTATTCGAAATTGACCTGTTGCACATTATCACTCTCTTTACTCTCTGATTGTGCTTTTAATTTATGCATAATAATTCATTAAACTTTATTTTAATGATCTGAAATAGATATATGTATATATATATACATGTGTATTGAACGGAGATATAAAGTTCAATTCACCAAGATTCTTTCGTTTTGTTGTAATATTTTCAAATTGAAAGTTTCGCTTGTTCTATCAATATAATCTAAACAGTCATGAATCAACCACCAAATCCTCGACAAAACCAATAACAAGCAAATCAACAGCATTTACTGCAAAAAATCAAACATTGCAACCACCACCAGCACATTCTAATATTATAAATGGAAGCAATAATATTTTCAACGACTCATTTATTATCGCGTCAAATCAAAATGATAATCATATTTCGATTATACTCTTAGAATCGTATCGTTACTAAGATCGTATTTTCTTGTTCTATTCTGTGATATTTCATATTCGATACTCGCTCATTTAATTATTTTTTGTGTATTGATTGTCTTTATTTCCTACAATCATCTCTCCTCTATTGCATATATTTTTTAATCTACAAAATATGTATATTTTTATTCGGAAGCATTAATTAGCTCACACGCCATATCTTTCTTTTCTTAATACGCGACATCCGATATTTAAAGTATTATCCTTTTACATTACACTCAAAATATTCATTTTTATATATTAATTTATATTTTCCCTCCAGAGACTCAGTCGTGTAAAATATCTTTTTGTTATCTTATGCTGAATGCATGAATCCATTGATTCCATTTATTGCAAAATTATCTTAAATTAGACACAAACTGCTAAAAGCATATTTTTCGCATTGTTTAATATTAGCCGACATAAAGTCTTGTTGCGTCGATATTATTTCAATAAAATCAATTTACGACATGAATTTGTAATTATTGTCAACAACGTGCATATGGATAAAATTTCGGCGTACATGTTAGAGATTTTTGACAAGGTTTTGATCTTAAACGATGAAGAATTCAAACTATATGTGTGGACAAAAAAATTGTTGACTCCACGAGTAATTTTCTTATTACAACAGGTTTTATTGCCATACTTCAAAAACCGGACGAAACCTAATAACAAATGAGCGGTAATAAATCTCAATCAACAATAAAAACTTCAAAGAATATAAAAAGTCTATAAGGATTAACCATTTTTTAAAAATTGTAAAAAAAAGTAAATTTATAATGTGAAATGAGCGATGACTTGAAAATTGTATCAAATTTTTTAATTGCTCTAATTAATCGCGATTGTTTAAAAGCTCTGATTTTTTGTTGTGATTTTTTGGTTTATTGTTATGTTGTTGGCAGTGATATTTCTTTGATTGTATTGGAATGCTCACAAAATATTTGGCATAAAGGTGGTCAAGCTAAAGTTCCGGAAACTTCTAGTCACCAGACCATAATAACATCAAACACATGTGGAGCGAGCTTGGTCGAAGATTAAAAGAACGTCCTGAACATCCATAGAATTACAGGAGTTGGAAAATAATGGTTGGCCGACCAGTTTGGATGTAACTTTTGTATATTTGATGCAAATAAAGTACGTAACATCATCTGCAAGTGACGCGTATGCGGATTTCAAATATGGTTGATTACCAAGAGGATGAATAAGAATAAAATATAGCCAAACCGAAAAGGCCGAACAGAACAAGAGATCAACAAAGAAAAGGTAGAAGTTAGCATTTCCATCAATAATGTATTGCATGTACCGGTGCGGGTTGTGGTTGCGATTGTGGTTTTGCGGTTGCGGTGGTTGATTCATACTATCGAATATGTGCGAATATGGTTTTCCAGAAATTAAAAAAAATCCTTATTTAAGGAAAGAGAAAATGAGACATTGTGTGAAGAGTTAAATACTATAATATACTCGAAGTGTCATTTGATTTGGTACATGTGCGCAAAGGGCATTTTTATCTGTTAAGCTTTAAAAAGAACGTAAAAAAATTGCAATAATCGGAATCAACGATTCATGTATTCAGAATAAGATAAAAAATTGTATTTATAAGAAACTTTCAATGTTGTTTTAAAATATAAGACGATAGGGTTTAATACGCAATAAATATCGAATATGAACAAAACAGAATTTAATAATACACAATAAATATACGAACGAGTATTGAATATCGAATATGAAATACGAATAAAACAGAAAATGAATAAAAAAGAGTACTGATTCATGATTAACGATACGATTCTAAGAGCACAATTGAAACATTATTGTCATTTTTATTTGACGTGGTAATAAATGGGTCATTGAAAATATTACTGTTTCCATTATACATATTATAATATGCTGGTTGCAATGCTTGATTTTGTTGCATATTATGCTGCCGGTTTTGCAGTAAATGCTGTTGATTTGCTTGTTGTTGGTTTTGTCGCGGATTTAATGGTTGATTCATGATTTTTAGCAGAAATAAGCGAAAAGTAAAAAGTGGCTATTTGAAGATATAATATCACCAAGTAGTATCGATTTTGTTGGCATGTTCTCGTACTTTTATAATGGTATCTACGTAAATGGGCGTAAAAACAGTTTTTCGATTCGTCCTAAATGGAATGTATAAAGATAGCAATTGATTTCCTATTAGTGAAATGGACATAGAGAAAAAGAATTTTTACATACACTAAAAAGTATTATGAACCAATGACAGTTTTTCAATTTGTAACTTTTTCTACTAAATAGGAATTAGGTACTGTGCAACTTGTTAAGTAGTACCCGATCAATTGCTTAAATAATAGTTACACTCGGTGGACAAAAGTTTACAATCAGGAAATGATCGACATAAATTTAGGGTGGGTATTTTTCTATTGTACTAC